AATATTATTTATAATAGTTACAAAAACCCATTTAAAAATCAAACTATTGTTTCCATACCTACAACATCAAAAAAAAAGAAACACCACTTTATTTATTTACACTTACTCAAAGTACTGGGAGGAAATGATCTACCCTTGGAAAAGGGTAAAATGGCCCCCCGGGGTCTTCATAAACAGAGGTCACACTTGGTGACAAGTTTTCCCACAAGACCTCCAACCTCTCATAAAACGGCCATCGATTGTGTTTTATACCATTTTGTCTTTTGTTTTCCATTACCCCTGAGTTTTTTTTTGTTTTTCAACACCATTACCTCTATGGTTTTATCTTCAGTTTTTTTTTTTAATGTAATGAAGTTTTGGTTATCTTTTTTTGGCTTCACTTTCTTTGTTTAGGTCTTGACTTTAACTGATACCTGTTTGTGTGATTATCACTATATCAGCCGTGACGCGTTCACTGCTGAAGTTATATCAACCTAATGACTGCCGATTGTTGAATTAAAATTATTAATTTCTTCTGAACGGCTGCACAAAGTTCAATAAATTCTATTTTGTCATTTTGTCCCTATTGTCAACATAGTTTTACTTGAAATAAGTGAAAAAGAAAGACACTTAAACTGAAACGTAATCTTTTTTATTACTTTACTAGCTGTTGCCCGCGACTTCGTTCGCGTGGAATAGTGATTCACAGCTCTTCTCCCGTAGGTGATAGCGAGATAATATGTAGTGTATATGTTGACTCTACCTGTTAGTAAAATTCATGCAAGATTTGAAGTAAATCCGTGCAGTAATTTTTGAGTTTAGCCCGGACATACATACAGACAAAAATTTTATAAACCATATTTTTAGCTACGGTGCCGTTTGTAGATCTTTCCTCAAACATTTTTTTTAAATATTCATTGTACAGTTGGCACTTTCCTGCGATTTTATTATATGTATATAGATGTTGACAATAATAAGAAAAAACATTTATTCGACAGTAGGCTATTACACAGATACAAAAAAAATAGAAAATTAAAAAAGAATAGGACAAAAAAACAAAGAAACGACAGAGTATAACAACACAGTGACAATACAATAGTAACACAGAAATTCAAAATTAATAAAAACAAGATATAAATAAATAACAATACAATGTGTCATAGACATATCTCAGATTTATTCGAGAAGATTTAAGGCACGATTTCCAATTTAACAAAAATCTAATACTTAATAATACTCAGGTCTTATAAGACCTTCTTTTCGGTAACAGCACCTGTGACCAGTACACCCAAAACAATATAATTCCTAATAAAAACTTAAAGAACGCAAAAAGAGAAAAATTGCAAAACTTTACGTTTGTAGCCATCTTACTTGAAGTCGTTACGAAGTTAGGTAACAGGATATTATTCTCATTTCGTAATATTTTATGTAATTAGAATACATTTTCGAATTGAAAACGGCGGTAGAAACGAAAACTGGATTCTGATGATATTCACTAAAAGAGGTAACTAAAAATCGCAGGTGACTTACGTGAAAATACAAGGAAAAGCTCTAGTAATTTCGAACCACAGAGGGGGTTCTTCCTCATACGAGCCAGCGACGTCGTAGACTGCTCGACATCGCCGCGACCGCGCATCAGGTTATCTGGTTGTTTTAAAACCCGCGATTTTAGACAATTTAGTATGTCTCACAATAGTTATTATGAAAACAGTAAAGCTGGTGAGATATGTTCCACTCTGTTATCACCACTAAGCTTAGAGCTAGCATCAGCATAAAAAATGACATAAAGGATACCAGAATTTAACTTGGGAGAGCTATGCTTTTGCTCAAAAGGGCCAGCTCGACCAAAGTAATATTTTTTATTTAAATACTTATTTAGACTTGGTATAAAATATACACATGTACTTAACAACACATGGACTTAATGCCTTAGGCATTATTATGGGAAATTTGGCATAAAACAAGCTTGCATTGTGTTTCGCCATGTAAATGAAGTTATCGGAGGTCCATTCCTCCCCTAACTTAAACGAACGGTGACACGAATTATAACTTCTTTGGCGTTTCAGTTATCCATAGGCACTGCCAGTAGCTTACCATTAGACAATCTGTCTCCTCGTTTGCCGTACTATGACAAAAAAAACTACTGTAGATACCTCTTTAGAGAGTAAAATATAGTGTTATTTTAGATCTAAATCCCAGCTTATTTCGACCTCGTGTCTTACTGACGCCATTGTCTATTTCTAACAAAAGTGTATGAATAAAACAATAGTAAGCCACAGAGATCTCGAAACGAAATAACTTTTAGGAGACAACACTGAATTTAGACTATACTATACCTTCTGCTTCGGAAATGCATTGAAATCTTGTTGCTTTGAGTAGTGAAAAATTTGATGTAACATGGTGGTCTCCAGATTTTTCTAACTAAATGTAGACGATAGATTAACTGACTTTTGGTTCGATTCTTGGACCCTTTTAATGAACAAATAGTAAATTGCTTATCACTTTTACTGCGCCTTCTAAAAATTGTAGAATTTCAACCTTTAATAACGCACCTACGCACCTACTGACACGGCGCTAAAGGTGTTAGTTGTGCTAAATAGTAAGATTACTCTTTTCGAATTTGGATTTTTTTTTCAAAACTCAAAACTCATAGTCTTTATTTGCATGTTAAGGTAATACATACAGGTCATTACAGGTCTTATGAAATAATATAAATTACATTTTGGTTATTTTTGGTTGTTATTTTGGTTATTTATTGCTTTGTTCGGAATATAGGTAAGTACTTAAGGTCTATAATATATTAGTGGGTTAGTGCAAAATGTAAGTGGGTATTCTTAAAATGTATAGTAGGGTAAACCACCCAATCATTGGCACTCCACCAATTTATTGGCATGCTCTAGTTTTTTAAGAAAATTAAGATCTATTTGTAGCCAGACTAAAATTTTTTAGTAGAAATTAAACAGTAGTATCATTTATTACTCAACTGGCAACACACGTTTTATTTTTTTTCAAACATGGCGGCGCATTTACCATCTGTTTGACAAGCCGCGACCTGTGCGACAAAAACAATCAAAATATTCGTTTTTAATGTATAGTATGTTGGTGTGTGCTTGTGGGTGTGAGGGATTATGTATGTATGGGGTAGGTTTTAACATTTAATTTTGGTGTTATATTCTTATCATACAATTCAGATTCGTTCAAATCATGGAAATAGACTCAACGCCGTTACACCTACATTTCTATCTACCATTTTAGAGAATAATAGGCATTATATTATGTGCTTTACGACCTCCGGGTCCAATGACCCACAAACTCATTCTGAAAAGAAACATAACAATAACATTTAGAGTCAAAAATAGATTTATCAAAGAAAATGATATCGTTCGCAATTTTATAGTGTAATCATTTTCTGTACTGTAGTAAATATGAATGAAAACGTATTTTTGTATTTTATTACGACCTTAAAAAATTTAATTATTCATTCGTTTATCTATTTTAAAGGTACATTAAAGTATTTTATGCATTCTTTTATTGTCCAGTTTGTATCTTTTAGGAAGTTCAAGGACAGAAACGTTAAAAAATATCTGTTTTTGTTGCTCATTGTCTGATTTTAATTAACAAAAACTTAGCAAATTTTCCCATAATCAAATGATTTTACAGTTCTCGGATCGCTAATAACTTCTTTTCCTCAGATAATGTGCCATCATTTCTGGTTGACGTGTGACGGCATCAGCGACGTGGTCTTCGCTCTGGATCTCGTCGTGCAATTCCGAACTGGTTACCTGGAGCAAGGACTGATGGTAAGCATTTATACATTTGAAACTGTTTAATACAATACGGTGCAACAAGACGGCCTGATAGATGGCACACACTTGCGATCTTTGATAGGAGCAAACTGCCAAGTATGCTTTTTGACTAAGATATAATGTAGAATTTATTAACTCTTTCTGTGCGACAACTCGTCATTTGAGTCCACGGCTTGCACTGCTACGACGTACTTATAATAGCAGGAAAACGCTGCTATGTGCTATAAACTACGCGCTATAAAATTCTAATCATATTCATTACCAGAAAGATTGATAGAAGATTAACTTCTCTTTATTCTTTCCACAGGTTTACGATTCCAAGAAACTAGCGAAACATTACATAAAGTCGCGGAATTTTCTTTTGGACATCGTTTCGCTGGCACCCCTAGACTTACTGCAACTACATATTGGCACCAACCCTATCATCCGCTTTCCTAGATTTTGTAAGGTGAGTACAGTAATAAGTGACACGTAACAGCACAAGTATGGGGTAATTTGAGTACTTTTTCATAAAAAAGGTTACCTATCACATTTTTTTACCACTCACTAGGATTTTCTCCTGTGTCATGGATGCGTTTACAAGAAAAACAATTTCACAAGTACGACACACCACTTAGGAACTTTTCGTTTAAAATTAATTTAGGGGTTCTTGCTGAAAACGGCTATAAGTCTATCACTATAGAGTATAGTAAATTAATAATATACATAGCTCCCCAACCCTCACTATTATGACATCAGTCTTAACACTAGAAAGACGGGAGCAGTCATTTGACCGCAATTTGATTTAAATGTTGAATAACTTAAAAACTATTTCACTTATTCAACTGAGACTTTGTGACTTTTATTTATTTTACTAGTTAAATGCAACTATGTGTGAAAATAAATCGCAACTCATTTGTTTATTACTTAAAATCTTGATCTACCGACAAAGACGGCGGCAGTCATTTGACGGCTAACAACCGATGAGTGTTTATAAGTGAAATAAGAGAGGGTAGAATACAAATTATATACAAACAATCTCCTAAACAATAAAACTCGTTACACCTCATAAAACGTTGATTCCCTAAATAAAACGTTACAGTAACAATAATATCTTCGTTGAACACCGTTACAGTTAACTAGAAGATATAAAGACAGAAATTATTTGCAATGAAAAGGATTTTGAAATCTCGACTTTAAACAGCTTTAATTGCAAATAGAATTTGTTTGCTGCCGAATGATTGCCAGTGCGACTGCCGGGCAACGAGTCTCGAGTTCGATTCCCGGGTCAGGCAAAAAAATTATTTTTTTTTTAATTCTCAATAGTAGCACGGAGTCTGGTACTGTGCCCAGTATATGGCAATAGGCTCACCCCCTATTACATGGGACTCATAACATTAATAGTGAAAAGTGGGTGTTACAATGTACAGTGGCAATAAGTGCCGTAATATGCACCTCGTTTCGGGGTTAAAAAGCGTGATGTTATGTGACGATGTGTTAGAAATTAACATAGTTTTAAGATCAAAATTTAACAATGGTAGGTGATCCTACTATCCTACAAAATACTTACAACTCTAATTCAACATTTATTGATAGACAGACAGACGATGAAATAGAAAAACATAATAATACATACACGTGTCAACAAGGTTCATATTACCGGTAAAAGCTTTCTATGTACAATATACTGATGAAGCTTGAGTTACCTAGGTATAAGGTCTAATGTAGTGTTATTTATGTCGATATAATAAACAGTCGACTGCCTCGTTGGCCGAGTGGGTGCAAGTGTGACTGACAGGCAAGGAGTCTCGGGTTCGATTCCCGAGTCGGGCAAACTATTACGGGTTTAAAAAAAAATTGTCAGTTGTAGCACTGGGTCTGGAATTGTGCCCGGTATATGGCAATAGGCTCACCCCCTATTACATGGGGCTCATAACATAAATAGTGAAAAGTGGGTGTTACATTGTGTCATTAAGTGCCGTGATGTATACATTGGCAGTGATTGGCCGAAGTGATTGGCAGAGGTATACCTCTGCCAATCACTTCGGGGATAAAAGGCGTGATGTTATGTATTTTTTTTAAAAGTTGCTCTTAGATTAATTGGAATCATCTCCAGTCGTTATTTGTTTATTAATAAATATTAAGAACTTCTTCATCTTAAAAATGGTACAATTTTAATTTTGAAAAAGTATTTACACCTGTCCTGTTTATTGGGTTTACGATATCGAAATTGAACTAGCATTTATAGTACGTAATTTGGGACCTATTGTGTTTCATTTTGCGGTTTTGCAATTCGCCTTTTATTACTTTACACACAAAGGTTAACTAGCGAGAACTGTTTTGACGTGACAACGTCTTAAATTAGGTTGCGGCTGGGAGTCACTTATGAAAAAGTGTAACGCTCGGTAACGTAACGATGAGTCACCGAACGAGAGAGAGGCCCGCCGAATGCCTTGCGTCTCTCTCCCACTCAACTATGATCGGTCTGCCGCGCGCGCAGCACTAGTTCATTCAATTCCTTGTTCCTATTGTGCAATTTAATTATATTCATATCAATAAATATTCTACCGAGAAAAAGACGTTGTCACGTAAAATCTTCGCCCGTAAAAACGACTTTACAGGCAACCATTTTTTAAACTAAATTTTACTTCGACTACTATATTTTTATGACCTAAGAGATATATCTCTTCATACTATGGTATGAAAACGATTAAAATGTAATAATGAAGAACATGTAGAACTATACTAGCTTCTGCCTGCGACTACGTACGCGCAATCCCGTTTTCTCCCGTTTCCATAGGATTTTCAGGATTTTTTCTGTCATAAGAACCTTCTCCTGACAATAAAGCAACAAAAAAAATCAGCCAAATCGGTCCAGCCGTTCTCAAGTTATGGCGTGACAACGGGAAATGGGTTTCATTTTTATATAGGTACATATATATAGATTACACACTTCTAGATCATGTGACTAACAATTTTAAGCTTGTGTGTGACATTCTTCAATATCTTATTTATTGGATAAAATAGAATAAAACAATATTTATTGTATACCATTAATAATACATACTGTATAGTACATACGAAAAAGAAATTAACAAATATAAATACAAAATAATAATGGGCACAAAGGCAGTTTTATCATTAAACTGTCAAACACCAAGCGGTCACCGGTGACCGCAACCTATTGTTCTATAATTGTGTCTACAACCGGTACTCGACGAGTTAAGTGATAAGCATGTGATAAGATGTAGTGGGATAGGGTGACTAACGAGTAGATGGATCACCTGATGGTAAGCAATTGGGGACACCGATAGACACCCAGAACACCAGAGGAGTTACAACTATGTTTTCGGTATTTTCGGGGTTAGGTATTTTTGGAATACTCTATTTTTTTTCTGTAAGAATATTACATAAAATTCTTCTTCCAGGTTTACAGAGCAGTAGACTTCTACTACATAGTGGAGTCGAGGACAGTGTACCCCAACTTCTGGCGCGTCATCAACCTGATACACATACTTCTCATCCTAGCGCACTGGTTCGGCTGCTTCTACTTCTTGCTGTCCGAAGCTGAGGGGTTCCAGGTAAGGAACAGCTTTCACTTCATTAAAAAACGGTGTCTCGGTAGGAGTCTCCTGTGTGTCAAGATGTAAATGGATGAATTAAGATGACTATCAAAAACTTCTGTTTCATAATACCGCTGTGCTAATATTAAATTACAATATTTAAACGCGTTTTTAATATGGTTCACGTAAAACACTTCAAGCGCCCTCTGTCTATAGCAGTTTTTATTAAAGACTAAAAATAAAAGATGTTTTTATTAAACATCAGCATTTCTTCTAAAATCCCAGTTCAGATTATAAATAGTTTAGATCCAAAAAAACCTATTTGCTCTTACAAAGAAATGGCGACTGAAAGCAATTCTTTATAATCTTGAACACTCTCACAAGACATCTTCAACGCATGGTATTTTGTGATTAGTTTCGTAGGGACGTAGGTAGGGTCATCTCGTTGAAGATTTCAATCTATTTGCATCTCATATGAATGTCTGTGCCGCCCTTTAAATTGAAAGGAAAGATCAAATCTGCGATAAGGTCTATTTTGTTATATAGTTTGTGTTGGATAGTCGTGAGTGAAAGATGCTGATGGGTTTTAATGTGTGTGTGTGTGTGTTTGTGAGATAGCCCGGAGGTTAAGGGCGCTCGCTTCCCATGAACGCGGGTGACGTTCGAAACCTACCAACGGTACTTTCTGAGATTGCTGGGCATATAATTTCTAATTATAAGTTTGAAATCGCCAACCCGCATTGAGCGTAGTGGTTGGTGGAATACTTAGACCTTCTCGTGGGAAAGTAGGCTTTCGGTCAGCGGTAGCCACTTATAGATAGTTATGTGCAGTTATAGAATTAATTCGTTCGACTCAAGCACAAGTCTATAACAATTCACTCTTGGTCTATCATCTATGGCCCTGTCTCCATAAGGACTTGCTATAATCTCCAGACAAGTGGGTTGGATATCGTATATAGTACAAAATAATATCATTCATCAAAGAAGCTCGCAGTCTCTTGTCAAAGTATAAAAGCAATATCAGCTCTTATGACACCTCCAAGAAGACTTCTCTAGTATTCTATAGTTTCCTCCTTTTGCGAAGCAGTCATGCTAGCTAAGGAAGAGGCGGGGTGCATGAGACTGCGAGGCGCTGCCTCGTCACAACCCAGCCGTCGTGAAGGACACTTCGGGCGTCGGGAACCGCGAGACAATCTCCGGCCACCATAAGCACGGGCCTGTGGGCGGCGGGCATGTGTAGCTCGCCGCCCGACCAGTACCAGACCCGAGCGTGCTACGTGTCGCGTTCCGTGCGCGCCTCAAAGAGTCATCAGACCACCATGGATGCCAATAGATAGGGCCCAATAGGACTGATGCCGATACGGAGCCGCGGTGAACTTAACGGCTACCGGGGCTCCGGCTCGAAGTGCAGGTGTGGTTTTTAGTCAGTATTTGTTGATTTTCCCCCTTTAAAAAAAAGTCTTCTCTAGTCTAGTAAAAAAGTATTCTAACCTGCTGTCGCCACTTGGTAAGACGCTGGTGCATATCTAAAATTATAGAGGTTTTTATGGGATAAGCCGATAAACGAGCAAAAGGATCACCTGATGGTGAGCAATCGGCGCCGCCCATGGAGTCCTGAAACAGAAATGCGTTACCGGCCTGTTGGGGATTAGGATATAATTTTAAGAAAGAAAGATTTTTTCAATATATATATGAATGTCAAGGGTCCAATTCTTAGTAAATATCATCCGAAGGTTCGGACATGTAATCTGAATTTGTAATGTAATAGCCAATAACGTGATTCCATCAAAAGCATAATTTTCTTTGGCAGATTACAAATTGAATGTATTTCGTATGTATGTATAATTTTGTGAGATAAGTAATCTTTCTACGAAAGGTCGACAATGTATCCCCATATGAAGGACACCTTAAAAGAGCAATTTACTTGACTACCAAACAATGGATCTCAGATTCGATTCCTGGATCAGGCAAAAGATAATCGTGATTGTAATGGTTTTTCGAAAATTTTAGTTAAACATTTTTTGATGCATAGCAATAAACTCCGAATTACACAGGGCAGGCAAAAATGAGTAAATAACTTCATAGAACCGCTGCTACCGTTCGAAGAAAATTGGCGTGGTAGTATCTATGTTGATTGCTCATATACTTTCGCGTCGTTGCCCTCAATGTCCTCACTCATGTCGTGGTGACCCGGAGGTTTAAGACGCCCGCTTTTCATGCATGAGTGCGGGCTCGAAACCTACCAACCTCAAGTACCAATGTGACTTTTTCCAAATTATATGTACTTTCTAAGAATATCTAGACGCCACTAACAAAGGTGAAGGAAAACATCGGGAGGAAACCTGGTCTTATAATTTCTAATTATACCTCTAAGCTTGTATTTATTCGAGGGGATTATTGATCAAACCTTCTCCATGTGAGAAGAGGCTTTGCTCAGCAGTGAACATTTATAGGTTGTTGATGATGATGATGATATCGCCAACCTGCATTGAGCAAGTGTGGGGATTAATGCTCAAACCTTCTCCGTGTGAGAGGAGGACTTTGTTCAGCAGTGGTCATTTATAGGCTGTTGATGATAATATGTTGATTGCTTTATGTTTAGGTCACCTAAGGTAGCTTATTGTACTTCTGTATCTACCTCCATCCTCTTTCAAAAGCCTTAACGACCACTTTCATGCAATTAACACTTTAATACTCGGTGACAACACCAGCCATTCGACACTTTATAGAAAACCCTATTGTCGTACAACTGGGAACGATAAAGTTCTAACTACATATTACTTTCCACCCTACGGCTGAACTAAAACTAACCTTATTGCTTTGTGATACGGGTTATTTTAGTACCATTTTACCACGTTATAGCTGATCAAAAATGGGCCTTATTGCGTTATATTACGGGTTGTTATGAAACCTTCTTGCCATGTTATAGCTGAGCAAAAATCGACTTTATTGCTTTGTAATACGGGTTGTCTTGATACCTTCATGTAGCAATTAGTAATTGTTATTAGCACAGGAATGGATACTTATGCTTCTTAGAAACGTTAAGTTTTCTCGTGAGATTTCTTAGAAGAACCACATACAACGTCTTTTATATGACCAAAGGAAAAGAAACGGTACATAATGAGTATATAATAAATGGTAGGAACTGTCAGTCCAGCTAATTAGTATGCAAGAAACATTTACTCAGTACAGAGACATTACATAACTCACTACATAATATCACCCCTTTATCCCCGAAGGGGTAGGTAACAACACTTTTATTTAGTACTTGCCAACTATAGTCAGAATTTTAATTAGATTCCAGATTTGACAATAGCTACTGTCATTTTGTGAAATACCTAATGATACCACATATAATAGTGTAGTGATGAACACAAAAATCGATAAACAATCAGTGTGTGTGTTTTATAATAAATGTTACAGAAAGTGAGAGGATAGCGATAGCGATGACGGCGACAATTTATAAAATAACTTATTACCATTATACATCTATCTGTTTTATTTGTCATGTTCCTTCATCATTACATTTTTTTAGTTATTTCACACACAATTATAAAAGAAAAGTCTCAGATCGTTAAGTAATCGTCAAAACTAAATTATCGGTTCAGAAATATTTAATTTCCTGATATCCTTAGTTTACGAGAGTAAAATTATAAACGAGAAGAATCGATCCAGAAATATTGCATTTCCATATCGAATAATTTCGCAACGTCACTATTTAGTACTTGTCATAACGTTGCAACACTGAAATTGTCAAATCTGGAATCGAATTAAAATTCCGAGTATAGTCAAATTCAATACTTTTTGCGGACTGCCAAAAACGACAGTTTTCTATAAATTTTGTACGCGATTCTGTATTGTGACGTTACGTATTTTTAGCGTCAAACAGCATACTTATTTCTTAGAAATTTTGCTGGATAAATACTAAAATTAAGTTGGTCATAATACATAAAATCAATAAAGGAAAGTGTGATTATTTATTAAATATTTCATTGTATTCGTGGAAATAATTTATTTTTGATTTGTTTTTTTAAGGGGGGAAAATCATCGAACGACTGCTCCCGCCTGGGTGAGGCGGGAGTGCTCACTTAGCCTACTTCCAGACTCCATTTAAACTGACAAACACCAAGCGGTCACCGGTGACCGCAACCTATTGTTCTATAATTGTGTCTATAATGACGGTACTCGACGAGTTAAAATTCAAAATCTAAAAATCTTAATATTGCTTCGCTCGAGGATCGAAATCAAGACCCCTACCTCTGCCTTCCCTTCTTTCCTTGATCCCTTCCGACATCAAACCTTAAAATCCCGGAAAGGACAGACAGTGACGTCCAATAGAAAAAATGTACCAGGGCCTCATAAGTTACCAACAAGCTATTTATTCATATACTTTCGCGACGTTGCCCTCAATGTCCTCACTTCAATATCGCATATAGGACGTTCAATTCCCTTGACAAGGGTCTCTGTGGCCCAACGAGGCTCCGACAGGCCGGATGTGAACCGTGGTTAGGTTATCTCAATGAAAATGGCTGCCCGTCAATGTTACACCCGAGAGTGTAAATTCATCAGCGAGATTTATTTAATCAATTTATTTTATAGGGTAAAAAATTGTGCAGACTATAGATAAAAGGTACCTTAGTCTGATCGTTTTAATAAGTACCGGAAAAATAAAATTACATGAGTAAATTAAATATTTATTATATAAACTACGTAGACTACGTAAACTACTTTAGCCCTCTGTTTTTTATGGTCGGTTTATACTGTTTATACTGAAACCTTCTCCTAATTGTAAATTTTTTCTGAAAACCGCATCAAAATTGGTTGAGCTAATCATGAGATAATCGCGTACAAAAATGCATACATCTTTATAATATATAAATTCTGCTGTGCGTGTGTATGTCATTGAACTCCTCCTAAAATGAATTTTTCTGTAGGTACGCATTTGAGTGGAACTCTAGATGGTTTAGATTCACAAATCAGCCTGGCAGATGGCGCTGCAGTCAGAGTCTTTTTTTTAA